GGGAATAAAGAAAAATAGGAAGCGTGAGAAAGAAACAAGGGATATCTGAGGGTAGAGAAGAGTGTCACAAATGTTCATGGCTGTGTTCTAGAGGACTTGGTGAGGGACCTGGACAAGAAAGAAATATCTGGAAGCCCTTGAGCAGATTTGAGGAGAGGTGAATGTTGGAAGGGGCTACAGAAAAAGAATGGACTTGGCATATTTGTCCTACAAATAATGGGAAACTTTAGGGAGCATTAGGAACTTTTTCTCAGGGGCAACACTGAGTTCCCTGACCTAGGGCTCATACTTTACCCATGAACTTTATACACTCAGCTTGCAGCATGTACATAAAGGCTTTAAAGATAATTTTTGTTAGTTTGTCTACTATACACTCTGAATATAGACACACTAAATTTTATTTTTAGATCAGGCCAGATCATCAGAAAGCTGAATATTTAAGCCACATCGGTTTTACTATATTATAGTATAAGATTGCATTATTGTAAGAAGAAGCTGTATGGAACTCAGCTCTATATATCATAAGTTGTTATTGAAGGAGTTGTCCTTTCTATCATAATGTATTTTATATGAGGACCCACATGAGATATTTATCATAGATGTCACCATAGTTTTTTCTGAGTAGCTGGTGTATTTTTATCTCATAATTGAATCTTATAACTAACTGTGGCTTTCTCTTATTTTCCTATCAGTTTTTTTTCTTCATTCAGATGACCTTATCTGCATAGTTTTTAGTCTGCTCTATTATATGTACAGTATTTCTGAAACTACTTCAGGTTCTCTTTTGGAGTTCAGATCATAAATACAAAGGCCCTACTCCTGGATAGTAAGTAGTATTAGTATTGAGCTTGTGTTGTCTTGGTGAGGGTCTTTGTCTTCTCCAGAAAGAACCATAGAGCAAATGGCCATCCTAGTAGCTCTCATTCTCAGAGAATGTTTATTTTTAATATCCTGGAAGAACTAGGGACAGTGTAGATCTGTTTCCAACAGATTTTCTTTAAACATCCTTTTTATATCTTGTTCTCTATTTACTTGCCTTGACAACTCCATATGACGATTGCATTTTAATGAAAACTGCTATTAAAAACTTTATCTTTTTGAATAGGTGAAGAAAAGATGTTAGAGATTTAGTTTTACTCCATTTTTTTCTTTAGCTTATTTATTGCTTTGAAAAATAGGTATTAGTAGTAATATTTTATTTGTCCCGCAGCCTCAGACAGTACTGTCTAATAGAATTTTCTGTGATGATGGAAATCTTCTGTATCTCTGCTGTCCACTAATGGTAGCCACTATCCACATTTGGATGTTGAGCAGTCGATAAGTGACTAGCACACCTGAGGAACTGAATTAGTTTAATGTAATTATAAAATCGAAATAGCTGCATATAGCTAATGGCTACCATATTGGATAGCACAGTATAGAGAACATCCTAGAACCTAGAAAAAAGCAGGTTTCTGAGTATTTTATTCCTAGTAGAGTCCTTTAGTTCCTTACCCAGAAATGATTTATGTCTTATTTGTATGGGAACATTTAAGCATATTGATCTGCTTTTCATAGTTCATGGATTAGGAGCAACAAACTAGAAGATGTAATTATATTCAGATGCAGAGAGGTTTACCAGCAGTCTAAAAGGTCAGCTAACAACAAAAGAAACAAATAGGAAAACTATAAAAGTCAGATCAACGTACTCAGAAGTGATTCAGGGACCGTTAAACAGCATTAAGGGCAACACAATATAAGAACACAGTACAGTAATACGTATTTATGATAATGCCCTAAATTAAATTTTAGTCAAGGTACTACTCTCTTTAAGAAGGCAAGGAAAAAAATATTCAAAACAGTTAAAATGTGAAAAGAAAAACCATAGTTTGGCATTTGTCAGTTGCCTGGATGGGGGTGTGTGTGTGTGTTGTGGGGTGGGTGATGGAAGCATCCTCTTCTTCCTGGGTAACACTGAGGTCTCTGGCTGACTGGGCTCTTTTGTTTAAGGTTGTTTTGGTCTATGGCTTTTTTCTTGTCGCCTTAGAAATGAGGCATACCTTTTCATGATGCTTATAGTGGCCATAAGCAATCAGTTATTTGTTTTATTGGAGAGGTAGGATGGCCACATTGAGATGCTTTTAAGAAGTCAGGAGTTTTATTGCCCATAATTTCAGGACTGTTTATATTCATAGTCCTTTGGTCTTGTGTCATGTAGCATAAAGACTTAGTGCTGCATTTCAGACATGAATGCAGCTATCAAATTTAAAATATTTTTAACTTTAAAGAAATAACACAAATACTACATATTTATAATAGAAGTAGTAGAAAACTTAGATAAGAGGAAGAAAGTATAAATTTCCTTTAATTCCACCATCAAGTGAGAAACATCATTTTGGTGGATATTCTTTAGTGTGTGTATGCATGTATACACTTAACTATGTGTAAAATTTTTAAAGAGCAGTGATATATAATGTTTCTAACCTATGTTATTTAGTACTGTTTCATGAACACTTTTCTTTGTCAATGAGTATTATTAAATATTTTTAGTGGCTCTGTATTTCATTGTATGGTTGTATCATAGTCTAATCAATTAGTTTTCTATTGTTGGATATTTGTTTCCAGTTTTTCAAACTGCTTCTGAGAAGCTAGTTTGACTTTTTACATCATTCAGTGATCTTTTGATCACAGAAGTTAGGCATATATCAGGCTTCTATCCTCACTACTCCTTTACCCCCCCA